GGATGAAACTTTATGGATGAAAGATGTAAACTCTTGCTCCAGTCCTTGTTGCTAAGCTGGTAGGGGCAACAAATACAGCTGAACCGAAGCCGTGTTTTCCGGCTTCTCACTGACCCGCCCCTCTCTGCTTCTGATTGGCTAGTCCTGGTCCTAAACTAGGAACTGTGCATGTGCAACTCCCAACAAAGATCACGTAGAGGTAAGATTTATCACTCCATAGCTAAAACGAAGCATTCAACACACAGGGTAAAAAGAGGAGCTGCTGTAATGTTCAGTATCACAGAAATATGGTGTTTTTAAAAAATGAAACCATGTAAACCTGTTCTGGTACAACACCTAAATAAGATTTTGAATCTGAAAATGAGCATAATACCACCTCTTTATTGTTAAGATTAAGATAGAGTAGGGAACTATGAACTGGACAAGAAGTGATCATTCTGCGTCATATGTTTAACAAGTTTTGTTGAAATATGGCGTCCTCCTCAGTTCATGTTCCACCTGCCACAGCTGGCTGTGTAAATAGAAGTCTTTTCTAAGCTTCTTCCAAGTAGGAATAAGTTGAACATTTGAGTCACACTTGCATATACACAGTAATGAAATCAACCACAGAGTCCACCATATTGCCACGTGGCTCAGTTCCTTGTATTTTCTTTCCAGACATCTCTCTTTTCTTTCTGTTTACAAATCTGGGCATTTGTGTGATCATTTGCTGCGATGAAAAGCACATCATGTTTTCCTTTTTTCTGTTACCTTGTGTCTGTTCACAGTGTGAAATCTTTCCACTTTTCATATTTAATGAATAAAACTGCCCTGATAGATGAGCTCCTGACTCTTTGTAACCCCATTTATATAAGAATCCATACAATTTAATGTCAGAGGCTTTGTGTACCATAATTACAGCAACACAAGCCTTTCTCTCCTCAACCCCCCACCCCTCTCAATCTTTGCAGCCCCTACATGATGGTGGCTTCAGTCCATAAGGAGTAGGTTGGGTGGGAACGAGGGTGAGAAACATGAGACGCTTTTGTTGACATGCAGCGTGTGGCATTTTTGTTGTGGCGTCACACTTGTAGGTCTGAACAGCTGATGCATGTGGATATGGAACCTGTAGATGTTCCTGTGTGTCCTGAATACAGATGAAAGGGATGGTCTCATTATTTCGAGGAAGACACGTGTTGCTAGAGAAAGCTTGTATGTTGTTGTGATGTGGGTGCGCATGCATGTGTAGTGGGAGGAGGATTTGGTGCAGTGCGAATACCCTTTGTAATGGTGCAGCAAACCCCCCTCCCTCTCTATCCAGCTCACTCCCTCCGTTTCTGCACGCTGAGGTTTATGTAAAAGCCTTACGTAAGACTATAACACTCCTACCAGCCCACCAGATCAAAGCTAGTGATGCTGACAGTGAGAATGGTGCGTGCTGGTGTGCGCGCAAGCGTGTGTGTGTGTTGGCTGATCTCATCATTAATGGACACTCGTCCTCATTGTAAGCCATGTTTGTGCCTCTGTGTTTGTGTTTGTATTGGTGCATAAATCTGGTATAAATGCACAACAGGGAGGATTTAGTTTGTGCTGAACAACGAAGTTCTTATACTGAAGAGAAGAGAACAAGGGAGCGAGTGAGGAGGAAAACCATGAAGAAAAAGTGGGAGATTTATTGTGACTGTGAGTTAAGGGTTTGTCTGGCTTCACTGCTCTTGAATGAAGCCTTTAGCTAGCCTATGTAACTTTTGATGAACAGCAGCTACAAGTAGCAATAATCACATAATGCTATGCTAAAATGTAGTGTAATAGTAACACAAGCACAGAAGAGTCTTTTTTTTGTTTTGTTTTTTGTTTGTTAGCACAGAAGAGTCATTAAATGAGCAAACTGACTCGGTGATGTCATTTATAGCAATATGTGTGTATTGTTTGCTAACACTGGCCACCAGCTGCTAGACTATGAATGTGCTATTTCTTCTTCCAAAAGTTACATAGTCTTGCTTTAGGGTATTGTAGCCTGTGACTGTTGCTGTATGGATGTACATACTATTCCTGTATGTCATCATAATCAATTATAATGTGTATTGTAACTAGCTAGTTTTCTGCTAGGGTCGGAATTTCTTTCTAGTTTTTTCTAAAGATCCAAAACATGTTGACTGGGATTTGTTTTCCATAATTCAAGCTAAATCGGTATCTACTGCGGTTTAAGTTTGTAAAACTATTGTCAATTTAGTCGTGTTAGTATCATAGACTTTATAAAGGTTAGTATTTACATACAGTTCCTATGAAAATTTGACTAAACGTCGTCATTATATTTTGGTTAAAATGATGAAATGATGAGATGCTTATACATCTGATGCTTAAATTTAAATAAATTAACTTACAAGAACACATTTTAGCTTTTCAGAGAAGCCCTCTATAGAACTACCCAATAAATTACAGATGCTGGTGGAGAAAGAGTAGAGCGAAAGGTTGTATGGACATTTCTAAAAAATTATATATTGATGATAGGTAGGGTTTCCTCTCCCTGATAAACGTGTGTGTGTGTGTGTGTGTGTGTGTGTGTGTGTGTGTGTGCGTGTGTGATGGAGCCCTAAGCACCATTCAAAAGCCGTACCCCACATTCTGCATGGCAGCCTCTCTACACTCGTTCCCATAGTAACTCCACTAGGTCAACCAATGAAAAGAGGGGGCTGGGCAGGAAGGAGGATGGGAGAGTGTTAGGGTGGTGGTGGTGGTTGCTAACACGGTGTGTGAGAGATGTGATTGGAGTTGAACTGGTGCCAAGCAACATTTACACAAATAAAAATGCGCATGTTGAAATGCACATACATATACCACAGTAACAGACACAAATTCAATTATTTTTGCTAAAGCAAACTTAAATCCTTACCCTTACTCCATATTGTCAGAATGTAAATGCCACTTAATAAGCCATCAACAGGAGAATCAAGAAAAGGAGACTGACCTTTAGCATACATCTCACACACACATCAATTCCTCATGCGAAGGTTCCACTCTTTACCACTGGGTTTCACCTCTGCAATCTCATGGGAATCTCCCCGCCACCACCACCATTTTTCTTCTCTGTGTATCCCCCTCTCTGTTGGTGTTGTTTTTGCTTCATCCTCTATCCTCCCTCACTTCTCTCACTGTCTCTCATACGCTGCCACAGTCCCTCTCGATGTTGTGCAGTGCTCCCACTTGTCAATAATTCATCAACAGACAAGCTTCTGACTCCGTGAATGTGTGGTACACCGTGAAGACAAGGGCATGCAGTTCAGCGTGATGCTGAGTGAGGTTTTAACTCTGCAGAAGCAAATGAAAAATCTGGTTTATACTAGTTTACCAGTTTGTTAAAGGACAAACAAGCACATGTTCCTCTTCAGCGACAAATTCTGACTTTGAAATGATAAATCAGCCAGAAACAAGATATTTCAATTAAGTTCCAAACTGAATGGGAGCATGTGAGCAGCAAAGAAGAATTATGGATTGAATTATGAATCACAAGATGAGTGATGACTGAAATTTCCTTTAAGGATACAAGGTCAGGGAAGTGAGTTAATGGTCTAATACAGGGTACAATAGCTTGAATTTACTCAGTATTGAATTAACATTTTCACATTACTGAATTTGTGCTAAAACGTTTTTGAGATGCACAACTGGTATGTAGGCTATCTTCATTTCCTCAATTAATTCCCCTATTGAATGCTTGACTGTCATTACCGGACAAGAAATAAGTGTAACATCATGAGCGCAACATTAACATGGGTTGGTCCCCTCCTGCAAAGTGTGTCGTGTTTCCTCTTATTTACTTTAGCAACAATGCTGAATTTTTCATAAGGAGGTAGGGCGGGCTTGAGGATACACTACATATGCATAGTTGTGCTTGTAAGTGAGTGTATTCTGGCCAGAGGGCTATACAATTCTCTTTCAAAAGAGTCTTCTTCATGAGTTCATATCCCCCCGCCAAACCTCAGCTGATCAGAAAGATAACCTGCATGGAGGGAGTAACAAAACCAGTAAAACAAGCATTGTGACAAGTAATTTTAAAAATGCAGTCAAACTGGTCACTCCATCTCTTTGGATTACTGAGCGAGAAGAGTTGAATACCCCTAAATTCTTACCAGAATCTCTACAGGGAGTGAAATTGTGGTAGAGATGTTGAGTATTTTCAATCTCTCATTGAGAGTGACTTTGATGTATTTAATCTTAAACCAGGTTAAATTTGGCAAACACATGAATTCCAAACAAAACTAAACTGAACACATACATAAACACATATACAGTGCATACATATTATATGTTAGAGCGACAGGTTTCTAATACAAGCTGCATGATATGATCATGAACTTTACAGAATATAATACACCCCGTGTGGTAAAGATTAAAACTGTAACTGAAATCCAGGAATAGCGATTAAATGATGGTGAAACACTGTTTCATACACCAACTATATCAACTACATCTGCTGATCAAAGCAGATCATTTTAGTTTTTATGTAATTGGCAAAGCGCAATGCTGGACCATGGTGGCCATAAATGTCATTACAGTTCTTCTCAATTGCGAAACACTTAAAAAAAAAAAAAACATTGTTACAATTCACAAAACATGGGTACAATTGTCACATCAGTTTACACTGTGCAGAACACTACTTCATTGCAAAAGGACACAGTAAACCAATCTGTCAAAAAGAAAAAGATACTGCCATCACTTCCACCAAAATGAAATTTCCCTTTTCCATTCCTTTCTGCCAGGACAGTCAAAAGTCTAAGGAACTGTGTCACAAATTGATGTTAATGTTAAATGTGCCTGAGAGCCAAATGAGAAGGAGCCATCAAAACATTTCATACAAACAACAAATTTCAACTACCAGTGTATTCACAGTGCACTGCAAAAACTGAGCTCTCAAAAACAAGGGAAAAAGCAATAAAATGGGGGAAATATTACTTAAAATAAGCAAAATTATCTGCCAACAGAACAAGAACATTTGACTTGCTACTTAAGGACAAAAAAACTTGAAACAAGTGAAATTCTCTTACATAAAAGCCGCCTGGTAAGAAAAAATATCTTGTCAGACAAAAACAAGTATATTTTGCCTTCAATTAAGATAATTAATCTTACTTAGATTTTAGTTTTTGCAGTGATACTGTAGGCTACACCTTTCCAGTATGTTCCACATTCACAGTAACAGTAATTTCAACAACAACAATTTAAAGTTGATATTGCAAAATCATGCAAAAGAGAAACTACTGTATAAATTAGAAACCATAAGACCCAACACCTCATTGGCCAACCAAACACTCCGGTCTGGCCTTTACATCCGCTACACATGTGATATTTAGCCTTGCAGTACACAAAAATCTACTGGATGCAACAATTGCCAAAATGTCTTTGTCCACACATGCGCAAATGTTTGCATCTGTAACCCTACACCAAGACATGCATCTGACACACCCAAGGCTGAATCGGTTCAAGCTGCCTTAGCTTGATTCTTAAGACTTAAACACCAAAGAATCCAAAGTCAACAGCAGTCCCAGATCCACAAGTTCCACCAACACTCAGCTTGGCGGAGCCTGAATATCCACAGTGATAAAAGTGTAAAGTTTGTCCTTCACAATCTCCTTGACTGTGTAACTGAGGGAATTAATTCCATCTTTATTCATGGCCTTCTTGGTATGGGCCAGTTTGTCAGGATTATGTGGGTTAGGCTCATTGTGCCGGTCTCTCTGATGTCTGATCATTTTGTACTTTCCTATCACATTGTCAGGTCGAGAGATTGACATTCCACGGTAGAAAATTCGCTTATAGATATCGTCGTCCTCACCACCCCAGCCCCAGTAAGTGTTCGGGAAGCCGTTAATCTTCAAGTATTGCTCCTTGGACAATGAAGAAACCCCGCCAAAGTAGGCGGTATAGGGTAAATGGAAGTTAAATTTGTCCATAGCCACAGCCAAGTGTCGGGGCTTGTCAAAACATCTATAGAGGTTACGGTCATCCATAGGAACTAGATCTACGTCAGAGAAGACAAAGCACTCATAATCATATTCCTTCAGTGCTTCAGCATAGCCTACATTCATCAGTTTAGCCCGGTTGAACACTCCTTCACCATCCTGGTTGATAACGTACACAGTGTAGTCCAACTGCTGTCGTATCAATATAGGATGGAGATAAAACAGCCAATGCTTCAGGTGCTCATGCCGATTTCGGAATGCGATGATGATCGCCACCTAAACAAGTGAAATAAGCAAAAATACAGTCATTTAGGCTTTGGTGGGTTATTTTTTTTGTTGTTGTTAAACCTTTATAATATCAAGAAGCATGGAAGAGGATTCGGGCCACATGTGAAAAATGTATTTAAGTTCTGAGTTTAAGTCTTAAACTCTTAAACTTAAACAAAGTCTCAGAATTTTGACTTTTATCCCAGCGTAGAGTGAAATAAAAAACTGAAATAAAAGTTCATGCACTGGCTTAAAATTTAATTATACATACACAAAATACATGTAATAAAGTTAACATAACTTATTTCTAGACTAGCAATGCCCAAAATTAGAACAATAGGCTATGCTTTGCCCGTGCTCCATTACATGCACGTTTAGTTATCATTGTTTAAACACACTGTACACATATTACAAGTGTTTAATTTCATGGCAAAGTGTTCTAAATCTATAATTTCATTATTTATTTATTTATGTATTAATTTATTTCGCCAGTCATTCACTTACCTTCTGTTTGGCGATACAGTCTGGTGGTTTGTACCGTCCTCCCTCCTGAAGAGGAACACTGATCACCTCTCTCACCTCATCCAAAGTGCGTTTATAATTAAACTCCACATGGAGAGGACCAACAAGATTTGGAGGAGTGTCAGGGCAGGGTCCCAGAATTTTGGTTGTACTGGGCAGCGTTATTGTCTTATTTGGGCTGCCATTTCTAGCTTCAGTCTTCTTGTCCCAAAAATCATTTTCATTTGATGGCTTAGTAAAAAAAGTAAAAGTGCTGTTTTTGTGGTTGAATACAAACACAACAAAACATGCCAAGCTGAGAAAAGCAAAAAGGGCCAGGATGTTAAAGATTTTTTGCAGCATTTTTGCTACCCCTGAAGTAGGCCTAATGTGTACTCAACAGCTCTCCTAAGATGCTGCTTCCTGCATTTCTCTTTGCAATTCAAAGGTGTCCCAAACAGGTTTTTTTCTTTGAGCTTGTCCTAGTCAGCTGATCAGGTTGGGCCACACACCTGTTGTTAATAATTAATCCTTGTTTTTTTCATTTGTTACCCAGAATTTAGTGACTGGTTCAGTGTACTGCTGTGTGCTTGAGTATAGAGAATACTATTTTAATAGTTCCTTTAATTTGCATATTATCTCCAAGTACTTTTAGACCAATGTTAATTAATATGAAACAAAACCAAAGTAATGAATTAAGAGACCAAATGGCTTGGTCATTGGCTAAACACATTAAAAAATATATAGTATCACTTCCACAAATAATACAGCAATTATAATACTTCCTGTGTGTTGTCACACGGGGCCCTCTACTGGTGTATGATTGTACTTGCTGAATTTTCTGAGTGTCCCGTGGTGCTGACAGACCAGCAGGTCATCGACAAGCCTTCAAGAAGTCCTCCAAGAACTGAGCAGAAGCGCTCAACCCTGAAAGACGTCCTCAGCCAGATCTATGATATGTGAGATATGTCCCAGGTACTGAAACTTGTCCACACCTGCCCTTTGATATGCGTAGACGTCCCGGTGATTCTGTCTGTCCAATGTGCTTGTAGAAATAGCCTGTACTAAAAGGACTACAACTTTAAAACTCTCTACCTTAGAGGACAGGGCTGTCCCTTGCCAAGTGTAACAAGACTGAGGGTATTTCCAACTGCAGTAAACCTCTCCCGTGGAACGTCACTGATTAGGTATTTTACACTGAAGTTGACTTCCTCTTTATGTGCAGATAAACCAATCGCAGGGTCAGAAAGGGGAGTGCCATCAAAAATGAGGAAACCAGTCATTTGTGAATGCAGACAAACGGGAAGGGTATTGGTTACGCTGGTCACACCCAACTTTACTTTGTTCACCACAGAAACTATGCACTTACAGATGAACAGTTGTTCAAGTTTAGCAATGTATTAATGTAACATGATTACTGTACGTCTGGTATTGTGAGTTACGTTATTTACGGTCACTATTGAAGGTCACGTGGGTTAACATTATACAGATAGGTTGATGGAAAACTGGATACAGGACATTCCTGTGTCAGTCTTCACATGTAGATTTGATGGTTTCTGGTCAGTTTCAGTGTGAGAATCTCCCTCCCTGCAGAACCCGGACAGATGAGCTAGCTATTGCTCAAAGTGGTGAACTGGGAGATACAGTATGTTTACTACCTGTTCAGTTTTCATATTGATGGTAAGAAAGCATTTCTAGTCTTCTTGTCCATCCACCCATTCTATAAAACCAACCAAATAATATGCCAATTTCCCCAAATATTTTCAGATTTCATTACATTTAAATGAATGATATTAATAAAATCACAAATAAATGATAGGGAATCATGTATAATGCCTTACAATATTTTATTACATAACATACTGAATACATTATGTTCTGTTTTGAAGGTCATAAAATGTGGCAGCATACAGTATGGAGATAATGTGACAAATACAAACATCAATCTGAAGACAAAGCAGCCAGTGTTAAAGTCATGTGACATGTGATACTCAAACATAAACAAATGAAGTGCTGCTGGTTGGAGATAGTTGGATGTGTGTTTTAAGAACGTGGTAAATACAATTAAGAGGAAGTAGTCTGGTTTATTAAATAACTGACTGGTTGAAAAAGTGTGCAACAGCAGAACTATATGCTCAACTTCTGTTAATGAGTGCATTTATTGTCAGGAGGGCTGAGTGCAACAGCAGACAAACTGAGGTGTGGACCCAAAATGCAGACACTGACGAGGAGGATTCAGTTCAAACCAAAGATTTATTCTAAATGATAACAGTCACTTACTGGGAAGATCAAACAAAAGGCAAGGTAGTCCTGAATTACTGCAGCAATGCGGCGTGGCATGGAGTTGATCAGTCTGTGGCACTGTCGACTCCAGAGTGTCCAGAACTCAGCTGCCAGGCTTTTAACCAGAACTAAAAAATATGACCACATCACCCCTATTTTAGCTTCATTACACTGGCTCCCAGTATGTTTTAGAATTGACTTTAAAATTTTATTGATCACTTCTAAAGCTCTTCATGGCCTCTCGCCTTGTTATATTTCTGACCTTTTAGTCCCATACACACCAGTATGTACCTTGAGATCCTCGGGCAGAGGTCTGTTGTCTGTTCCAGAGTCTCGACTGAAAACTAAAGGGGAAAGAGCGTTTGCTGTCAGGGCCCCGAGGCTCTGGAACAGCCTGCCCGAGGAAATCAGGTCGGCTGAGTCAGTGAACTCTTTTAAGTTCCTTCTTAAAACATACTTTTATAGGAGAGCCTTTTCCAATCTTATTTGACTTTATTTTATCCCTTTTATTTTATTCTATTTTATATTTATCTTAATCGTGTATTTTAGTCTTTTCAATGTTTTCTTGCTTTTATCTTGTATTGTTTCTGTATTATTGTTTTTTGGGTATTATTGTCTTTACACTTATTAAAGCACTTTGTAACTTGTTTTTGAAAAGTGCTCTTTTAAAAAAAATAAATAAAAGAAAAGTGCTCTACAAATAAAGATGATTATTATTATTATTATTATTATTATTACTCCTCAGGTGTTATGAGAGCCCAGGTTGCTCTGATAGTGGCCTTCAGCTCTTCTGCATTGTTGGGTCTGGCGTATCGCATCTTCCTCTTCACAATACCCCATAGATTTTCTGTAGGGTAAAGGTCAGTTTGCTGGCCAATTAAGAACAGGGATACCATGGTCCTTAAACCAGGTACTGGTAGCTTTGGCACTGTGTGCAGGTGCCAAGTCCTGTTGGAAAATGAAGTCTGCATCTCCATAAAGTTGGTCAGCAGCAGGAAGCATGAAGTGCTCTAAAACTTCCTGGTAGACACAGTGGACAAACACCAGCAGATGACATGGCACCCCAAACCATCACTGACTGTGGAAACTTTACACTGGACTTCAAGCAATATGGATTCTGTGCCTCTCCTCTCTTCCTACAAAGGAAATGCAAAATTTACTTTCATCAGAGAACACAAATTTGGACCACTCAGCAGCAGTCCAGTCCTTTTTGTCTTTAGCCCAGGTGAGACGCTTCTGACGCTGTGTCTTGTTCAAGAGTGGCTTGACACAAGTAATGCGACAGCTGAAACCCATGTCTTGCATACGTCTGTGCGTGGTGGTTCTTGAAGCACTGACTCCAGCTGCAGTCCACTCTTTGTGAATCTCCCCCACATTTTTGAATGGGTTTTTTTTCACAATCCCCTCCAGGGTGTAACCTACAGAACTAGACTGAGAGACTATTTAAAGGTTTTTTGAGTTAATTAGCTGATTAGAGTGTGGCACCAGGTGTCTTCAATATTGAACCTTTTCACAACATTCTCATACTGATTTTGGGGTTTACATTAGTTGTCAGTTATAATCATCAAAATTAAAAGGAATGAACACTTGAAATATATCAGTCTGTGTGGAATGAATGTATACATTATACAAGTTTCACTTTTTGAATGGAATTACTGAAATAAATCAACTTTTTGATGATATTCTAATTATATGACCAGCACCTGTATACACACAAGCAGGCAGGGCATTTAACACAGGTGAGACACATAAGCAATCAAGCTGACAGAAAACAAAGCTAGACAAAAACACATGAAACTGATCACTACAAAATAAAACAGGAAGTAATGCTAGCGACAAAACACATGGATACTGTATGTGAAACCAAATACAACAGAGAACAAGGAAGCAATGATCAACTAACCAAACCTAATGCAACCAATAACCCTAATTAAAAATGTGTTGTTACCATTAACGACTGTGCCTGTGATGGTAAGCATGGAAAAGGAGTGTTAAATAAACATGCTTACGTGGATTTCAGCTCTTACTGTTTGTATGTGGGTGTTTTTATGGGAATGTTGATTTTTCAGATCAATTTAAGAAGTACCTATGATCTTGTTCCACATTTTATTGTGTGTCATGTAATGTGTGGAACTGGTCTTGGTCTTGACTCGGTCTCGCCCTCCCTTGGTCTTGGTCTTGACTTGATTTCAGCCCCTGAAAGTCTTGGTCTTGTCCTGGTCTCGATAAACTCTGGTCTTGGTCTTGACTGGGTCTCGGTGGTCTTGACTACAATACTAGTAAAAGGAAATGTTGTTTGTAACTCCCTTTTGCTATATACAGTGTACAAAAACAATCATAGAATGGTAAACAGAAGCAAGCTAAAAACTGTATTACATGGAGCAGTGTTTAGGATTAATTTAAATTAGAGTTTAAAAGTCTAATAGCTTGGGGGGAAAATCTGCTCTGCAGTCTGGTGGTGTGACAGCAGAAACTTCTATATCTTTTTCCAGATGGTGAACAGCCTGTGGCTGGGGTGGGTACTGTCCATTAATATCCAATGGGCTCTGCGGAGGCACCTGACCTCACCATTATAGCTAATGCTTGGGAGGTGGATACCAATGATCTTCTGAGCAGTTTTAATCATCTGCTGCAGAGCCCTTTCGTCCTGGGCCATGCACATCCCATGCCAATTAGTGATGTTTTCAGCCAGGATGCTTTCTATTACTCTGACAAGAATTGGCATGGGAGTGTAGCTTTCTTAAGTTTCCTTACAGCCATTTCTGATTTTTCTTCACCAGAATGGAGAGCGATGTGAGACGACCATGTCATGTTCTCTGTGATGTTGATTCCCAGGAACCTGCTCCACCTCAGCTCCACTGACATAGAAAGGAGTGTGTGTCTATATCTCCTTTTTCGTGCACCACTCTGCAAGTTTCAGTTTCCTCTCAATATGAAATCTCTTCATGGTTTGAAATTAGAGGCCGATGATTGTGATGTTGTCTGCAAACTTCAACTTCTTCATATGCCGCAAATTCATCAGTATTTTAAAAATGGCATTATTTTGAAGTCTGAATTGAAGTCAGCTGTACCTTACAGTAGTTATAGTTTCAGTCAGCTCTCACAAAACAAAAGACATTTCTTAGAAATGTAATTATTCACAGTGTGCTGGGTGTGTTTGGAACAAACATGATGAAACCTGTTGCTTTGAAAGATCACTTAGCTGTTTGCTAAATTCATTGTTCTGTCATAACGATTACAGGTCCATCTAAACCACAGGTGAAATGGTCACGTTATACTAAGATCCACCCAAGAGACACAAGAGTCCTACTGCACTAATAATTTTGTTGGCAAAATTCCATATTCATAAATGTAAATTCAGCAGTGAAAAAAAAATAATTTTGTCTCTAACTTTTTTTCCATGAAGTTGTGCATTATATTAATTTGATTTCTGGCTCCAACAACAAAAAGGCAGTTAAAACTGCCAACATATGGTCCTCTTTTTGTAATAGCCTGTATGCTTCCCCTGGCAATGCTTTATATCATTTTGTCTGTGTTTTATATGTTCGTACACTGTTATGTATATCTTTGTAAGTCACATCTGAATTGTGATTTCTATTATAATAATACACTGTGCTCATGACCTCATTTAAACCACAAAGTGCAGCAAGCATTTGTTAAACCTCCCAAACAGAGACCACTAGTGGCAATTGTGTCATTTTGCAACACTACAATAGGGCATTAGATCTGGCCCAAAGGATGTGTCTTAACAACAAAGCTGCATCACTGCTAGAAACATATGGAGGAGCGAATGTTAAAATGCTGCTAGTGACCCCTGGAGGCCATGCTACTCCATGCAATCCATAAACCAAGGTGTTTTTTTTAAAACCAACCTGTCATCTAAATGCAAGTGTTGTCCTGGTTGACATGAAA